GGGGTGCCCAAAGTGAATGGCGTCTTGCGTTGAGATTATCGACTTTCTTCCTCGCGCTCTCCTTCTCGTCTTCCTCCGGTCCCGTCGGCCTCTCCTTTGAGTCTTTCACCGCGCTCGTCGGGGCGTTTCCTCCTCCCTGAGACAGTCTGGCCTCTCCTCCTCGCTGTTTGTGCACAGCGCCAGCTCTGCCAGGACGTGGTCGGCAAGGAAGATCCGACGGAGAAAGTCAATGCCAGCTTCATTGTCTTCCGACGCCTCAGTCAGCGGGCGGATCGCGCCAGTCAGGAAGTAGCGAGGCCTCGACCATCGAATCCACGCACATTGTGCAGAGCGAGGCCTCCGCGTTCAACGGGGAGCGCGGTTGTGCTTTTCCCCTCTCGGTTTGTGCACAGCTCATGTGGTTGAGTAAGAACCTCCTACACCATGGGAACATAATGGCTTCTCTGGGAGTTAATGGACAAAGGGGATTTGGAAATACTCAATCGTCCCTCCTCCTGCATGACGTAAGCCTCCATCGGGATGACGTCATGCTCTTTTTTTTGAGTAAAAAAAAAACACAGAACAGAGTTTAAAAAAGGTATCGCAAAAAACAATGTAACGGGTAAGAAAATGCAACGAAGTGGATTCGAAAAGGACAAAGTGAATATAAACATTGTGAAGGACGAGGCTTCTGCTCCACTACAAAGACTAAAATCTACAGTTGGGTCGTCAGTCCATCACAGATGGAGTTTTATAAATTCTATAAATATTATTGATTTAACCAGAGAGCGCTGTGAGTGATGCATGATGCACCACAGCAGCTATAGATTAGTAAATACGACCGACTGGGGAGCTTGAACCTGACCGATGAATCTAGCAGTGTCTAAATCTGGGACATCACTGTACAGCATGACAGACACACACACACACACACACACACACACGCGCGCACGCTGGCAGCTCATTAGAGGAAGCGGCTGTGTACACCAGTGTTCTGCCAACATTTCATGAAACAGAATACACCGAAGCAGATTGAGGGGGGGAGATGATGGTCGAGTGAAAGAGAGACGAGTGGAGGGGAAACTCTGTAACAGGAAATGAAACAAAGAGAAAGAGAAAAGATTTTACAAGACAGTCGATGTGAAGAGAGGAGGTTCGGGCCGCGTAGCTGTCGGTATTCAAACCGGTGACATTTAGCGGGCCGCTCCCAATTAATCCATCACATGAAGGTGTATTGTCGCGTGGCCGACTGTGTGACGAGGCGCTGCCGTGGCGCGGGGGGGGTGTGCGAGGTGGGCGGCGTCCGCTCCCCTCGCTGTTGATGCACAGAAAGCACGGGGGGCGAGCGGCGCCCTTTGATTGACAGCCCGCCGTTACATAATGGTGCCGTGTGACAGCCGGGGGAGGGATCGGAACATCACGGGACGCTTCAAAGGGTTTCGATTGATTATCGCGCGGGCGTGTGTGTCGCGTTGTGGGGACATAAATCCGTTTACACACTGGCGTTGTGGGGACTCGCCTTTTGTTTGATAAAATTCACATCCCGATAATGTAAAACTTTATAAGTCTTCAGGTAAATGAAGTCAATGTAATGGGAAACGTGACTGTGTGTGTATTTGTGTAGTGGATTTAAAATTGCTTCATGCAGGTGTAACTTAATTTAAAAGGACTTTCACACTTTGTCTTAATCATTAGTTAATTAATCAGGACGTTAGTTTAACACCAAAGAGGTGCCTTCATATTTCTTCTTCTGACAGTCAGTCCAAAACCCCAATAAATCACCTCTTCCATATATTATTTGGCCTTTTTTCATCCTCATTGCTCGTATTTAGGAGCCCCGAATGTAAAGAGAACATGATGCAGAAGACTGAGGCGACCTTGCCTGCCGGGACGTGTTCGTTCCTGGGAAAAGGCCGCGAAAGGATCTCTTTTTGGGGACGACGCGAGAACATGTTGACGCTCGCCTGGCAGCAACACTGCTGGTGAGGTGAGCTCCTGTGGCTTCATCTTCGGCAACAAGATGAACACTCCTCTCTAAACCTCAGCATCATTGATCCTCGTAAGTCTAAATAAGCCGACAGTGAAACAAGAAGCTGCCCGTTGGCCGAGAACGGGCTCCTGAGGTGCTAACTGCAGCCCGTAGTGCAACCTAATGCCCGGCCGGTGTTACAGGTAGACTCACAGGCACGCTACATGGCTGCTTATCTTTGCAGTAACCCAAGTCTTTAACTGCTTTCCATCGATATTTAATGTACACTGTTAAATAATGAAGGCGCAAAGGCTGCATGCCAGCTACACCAGAGTCGGCTTGAGATCAGCACACAGGGGCACCGAGAGGTTAGAGGAGGAGGAGGAGGGAGGAGGACAGGAGAGGGGACACAGGGAGGGGAACATCTACAGTAGCTTGACGCCCGTCACTTCAAATCCCAACCAGCGCCTCTGCAACCTTGAAAGAACCCGCTGGTCTGAGCGTTGTGCATGAAATCGCGCCTCCTGTCTTGTTTTAATTCTCCATTATGAACAAGAATGCACTCAACTGAGTGCATGAGCAAGTGAACGGGTGAAGGAAAGCGAGGTGGGGCTGTGGGAGGAATGGAGGGCACACTTCATTTCTGGCACAGGGTTTACACCAAGCTGCTGTTTTGTTTTGGCCCTTGGGTCGTATTGTTGGGTAGCGTTCAGTTTCTGTTTTTGTCACAGGTCTATGTATGTGTGTGTGTGTTTTTGTGCATGTGTGTTCTGTTTAGGGATTTTAGCAGTTGCAATTCTCCAAAAGAGCAGTTGCCTTGAAGCAATATGTGCACATAGCTCTCCCCGTTTCTATCTCTACCTCGGTCCTCTCCATCCTCAATCTGCGATATCATTGGAACGAGTGGGTGGTGTTTGTGTGTGTGTGTGTGTGTGTGTGTGTGGTATCATCACAGTGAGTGGGTGGTGTAACCGAAGAGAGGAAATTGTGTGGGAGTGAAGTACCATTGAGGTGCACATGATTTGTGTGAGTTGGTTGGTCTTCGTGTTAATTATGATCCCTCCTGTCAGTGCAGGTTTGACAATAGAGTGAAATGGAATAGAAGAAAATGTCTAAATGACAAAGTGGATTTGTCATTTAGACATATGACCGGGTCATAATGGCGCCACGTCACAACACACTCTCACGGTACCACTTTTTGGTGCGGAAGCGTTCTGTTTTCAGGGTGTTCGTGTAAAAAAAAGTGCCTTTAAATTTGGCCAAAAACATCCACCTGGGAAATACCACATTATTTAGGCCAAACGTTCAGAACTCAAAAATTCAAATGTAATTTAACTTCCACAATGTGGAGTGATGATAATTGCTGACATTTTGGGGAGACGTGTATGCAAACTGCAACGCACTAATTCTCCATTTCAATGCTCCGCATCTGATCTCTGCTACCAGCAGCGGGATAAAAATATCTTCGCTCTTATTCAAAACTATCTGGTCGCCAAACTTCTTCACGCATGTGTGACCTTACTTCCCCTATTGTGAGTTATGTTATGCAAACACTAAAACTTGGAAACTATTGTCTAACAAACTACGTTGTCATTGAATCGATCCACGTTACACACTTTTAGGAGAATGCAAAGTCGGGGAAAAACCAACATTTCTTTTCAAAATAAAAGCAAAACGTGTAAAAGTAATCATTCACAGTCATGCTTCCGTAAAGACAGACATTAATAAGACAGTAATAAAAATGGTAATAACAGCAAAATGTATTTTATCTATTTAGTCTCTACATTTTCCTTATGAAATGATGTAAATAAGAAATATTTCAATGATCCAAATTGTTTTACAGATAATAAATGTGCCTATTAGGTCTGTTTGAAGTTGGAACATGAATATCAGTATTTAGCATCGTGTCATGACGACAGTCAGAAACAACAAAAAATAATATTTAGCTTTTGGTTGAAAAAAAAAAAAAAGCGCGAAAGAGGCAATCGTTTCGTTATCGTTTCTGTCTCTGATCACCCGGCTCATCGTCGTAACGCTCTTTATGGATTTACTACACCGAGACGGTTTTACTTCCAACCCTCCAGAAGAGCGAGAGGATTCAAACCCGCTGTCACCCCGATACCTGCGCAGTGCACCAGCGCGCGCCATGTAAATACACGCCGGGGCCCGCTGACGACACTGTGACCGCCGGTATTTTTAGCCCGCTCGGTTCCTGCCCGTCAGCGGCGCTGACATTGATCGGGGGGGGTGTGGAGGCGACAGGCCCCGGCTGTGCATCGGAGCTCCCGCGTGAAGCCGTTGGGCCCGTGCTCGCTCGCGCGCCTGTAGCACAAAACCCAGGTGGCTTTTGAGGCACTAAGAAGGCGCTCCGCTCCGCGGCGGCTGACAATGAGTCAACCGCGCGGGAGCGACAATGAGGGCGCGTGGGAGTCGGGACAGAAGCGCAGCCTCCATCTGTACGTTCACCGCTGTGAAAGCCTTTCACAGGTTAAGTGAGCGCCGCCTCTTTAACAGCTCGGAGACGCGGCGGCGAGGCCGCTTCCACCCCGGGGGCCCCGGCCGCCCTGCTCCAAAAAAAAACGCACACCTCGTTTTGGCTCCGGACGCAACGTTGAATGAAGGAGAACTGCCTCGCTTTCCTTCGTCCGGCGAGGCCGGCGGGAGAAAGATGTCTCCTGACCTTGAAGTGCGTGCGTGTGTGTGTGTGTGTGTGTGTGTGTGCAGCTGTGGGATGGCGTTGGACGCCGCCGTGCTTCTTTGTGGAAAAATGATTCATTTACTTTCACATCGTTCACACTGTTGTGTTCCTGTCGCCTTGACGACTGACGTCCCTCCCCTCTTGGTGCCCCCCCCCCCCCCCCCTGCGGGATGTTATCTTAGAGAAGACGTATGAATTACACATGTTTGATGTTTGTCATTTCTGGATCTCCCCGTGCATTGATCCCCTGTCACCACTTTAGCGAGGCGTTCCATGCAGAATGAAGAAGAATTTGACTCTAACGTTGCGTTCGGCGCACACGTAAACGCTCCTTCTCTCTCTCTCCCTCCACAGTGTGTTGCTTCGTGGTCCACAAACGTTGCCATGAGTTCGTCACCTTCTCCTGTCCCGGTGCCGATAAAGGACCCGCATCAGATGTGAGTAACGAGACTTTGGTGGAATCGAGGTTTGTTGCACTGTGATCGTGTGAGTTGAGTCTCTGAAATGTTTATTTAGTACTTTCACGTCGCAGTTAAATGATGAGTGAGAATAAAGAGATATTTGGTTCTTTGGAGAAAGGTTTCTACTTTATTCAGATAAATAATTCTCCATTCATCTCTTTTTCAAATCTGTCTGAGACATTAGTTTTCTCTCTAAATATTCAACCTTATATTGACCATCTTTGTCTCGCTGCTGTTTGAATCTTGTTACTCTACTTGTTTTCCCTGCAGTGATGTATTCCTTTAATACGTCTTACGTCTTACTAGATTTATTCTTAAGTACCTTGAATACAATTAAACCTCCACAGCATCATACACATTGGTTATTGGTTTTAGTGCTTTGTACAAGCCATCGATTAAACATACAGAGGCCTTCAGGAGGTTAAAAGTCCAGCTTGTCCTTTCATTTTTAATTGTTTTGCAGTGTTCTTAAAGGAAGCGCCTTTAAGTGGATCTCTCTCATCATCATAATCTCATTCACTCTCTCAAGTAGCTGAGCAGACGTGTGTTTCCTCAATTTAAGAGGCGAAACTTTCTCGCCACCCGGATCAAGAAAAGCCACAATGACTCCCCGTCGGGGGGGGGGGGTCTTTACCTCCCCTCCGCGGTGCCCTTTGGGTCTGACACGCGCACTTAAGCGAGCCGCTCCGGGAGCCGCCGTCCGTCCGTCCGTCCGTATGACTGACGCGTCCCCGCAGCCTCTGCTCGCCGCTTAGTGTCCGTCCGTTTCGCAGCCACCTTTCGCCTCTCCTCCGCCTTTTGCCCCCCCCCCCCCTTTTCTCCCGACCGCTTCCCCTTCGCTGTCTCCGTTTGGATCAGGGAAAGATGCACTGTGGTTCAGTCGGGAGCCGTTCATTAAATCTAATTGCTCCACTTTGTGCGTCACCGCTGCAAACTGTGGGGGTTTGGGGGGGGGGACGGATGGCAGTGAGCTCTGCTGCGTCGGAAGGAACGTGGTTGCGGGTTTTTAAAGGGTTCCCATCACGTCTCCCTTTCCCCCGTGTCTCTGCTGCAGAGGTGTAACGTCGCCCACAGTCACACATTCCTTCGCCTCCTTTACGATCTCTTCAAGGCCTTGAACTCTGTGACCTTTCCAAGTCTCTTCAGATTTAATTCCACATCTTCATCTCCTTCTACCTGTTCCCTGTGAATTCCCCCCCGCCAACCCCCCTCCTCTCGTTCCGGCACTCTATATTTATCCGTCTTTCTTTGGCGCTGCGTTTAACCCTCCTCTGCCTCTTTTCTGTACATCCTCTATTTAAACGCCGCTCCACCCAGGGGGGGGGCGGCGCTTTGCTCTTAATTACGGGGCCTCACCGCCCCCCTGCCGTGTCACTTCCTTAATGAGCTCGTGGTCTTGTGACCTCGGTCCCTGCACAGTGGGAATGTAGGGTGTCTCCTCCCCGAAGCGGCTGCACGTTTAAATATAGGGAGCCGGGGAGCAGCTGCGGGGCTCCGCTGGTCGTGGAGTTCCGACATTTAATCAAATACAGAAGCAGGAAAATATCCCGATTTGATGATAAGAGCCGACTGTCAGAGTGGGGCGGCTCGAGGGAATGTTTTCACCCTCGCACACCTGCTCACCTGCACAGCTGCTCACCTGCACAGCTTTTTGAACTTGAAACTCTTGAGAACAAAACATGTCCAGCAGTAATATGTCAGTAATTTAGAGCTTGATCCTGCAACACGTTTCCAAGTCCTCAGCACCTGTTATTGGTTATTAACTGTGATGAATAGTCAACACTGTTTGAGAGTCAGTTCGTTTTTGCACATCTGTTCCGTCTCGTCACCGATGAGGAAGATCGTGACCAGCAGTGTCGTCGTAGAGTTGTGGTTTGTCAACAGTTACCAGATTAATTGAATGAGAAATTGCCAAAAAGTGTGATGAAAAGAAAATTTAAATGAATCAAATCTTTTAACTTTTAACTGGTATTATTTGTCAGCGGGCCGTTACAGGATTAATTAACACGAGCACACAGACGATCCCGAGCAATGCTGGTCACGTATACGTGAAGGAAGGTGTTTCTCTAAAGGGGCACCGGATAAAAAGCAGGATACAGATTCATTCCACATGATCAGTAGTGTTTTACCTGCTGCCGGTGCCTCCGCCTCCTCCTCGCTCCCCCTCTCAGCTGTGTATGTTTAAAAGAAGAAGTCAATTATAGATTTGGGTTAATGGGATGGGCTCCCTGTGGGAGAGGTCGAGGGATGAGATCCTCTAATGAAACCTACATTTCATGCCCGCACTGCTAATGCTATAGAACTCTGTGTGTGTGTGTGTGTGTGTGTGTGAGATACATTTTCTTCCTCCTCTCCTCTTCCTCGGCGAATGATTGTGCTGCTTTTTTCCGCGGCTGCTTAAACGCTCTCAGACAAAAAGAAAGCGTGTAATTCCTCAGACATTTGGCTCAACCGGTGCCCTCTCTCCCTGCGAATGAATCGAGCGCTGCTCCGTGACATTTCAGAAAACACACGAGGAAGAATCTTTCCACATAATAACACGTAGGCGCATTCGCGGGCGCCGACTTAGCGCGCCGATTGTCTGAGGTTTGGACACAAACCACATCCCTGTGTGCGAGTTACCTGCGCGGCCTGTGGGAGGAAACAGTCACGTCTCCGGATCGAACCCACAGGAAGAGGACGGGCGACGCGGCGCTTCAGGCCTTCTTCGCTTTTGGGGAACATTGTGAAGGATCCCACTTCACCTTTTTTGTCACTGGGATCACTGGGAGAGTAGAGCAGTTAACAGTGGTTCGCTTCTAGTTTCTATGATTTCTAAGAAAGCAGGTTTTTCTGTGGTTCTTTGTGAATCTGTGTGTGTGTGTGGGTGTTTGTGTGAGTTTTTAATGTGTCACTCAGCAGCTGTTTATAACACACGCAGTGTTTAAAAGAAACTTTGTCAACTATTGTGAATTATTTAGGTGTTTTTTCACATGAAGCTTCAGGAAATCAAGCTTTTACTGCAGAGACCTCTGTGTGATGTACTGTATGTACTGATGCCTGTTCAGGCCTCATAGGCATTAGTACATACAGTACATATAGATATTCTATAGATAGATATTCGGCTAAGATCACGGCGGTTCAACATTTATCTCTAGATTGCTCAGTTTCTTCTCTTGGACATCCGATCTACCTGGATGGTATCTTTCTTTTTTCACTTGCGTATTCAGATATAATGAAAACAGCCTGTGTGACCAGATGGTTAAAAACCGCGAGGTAACGTCGGAGGGAAGAGGAGGGTTAACAAGGCGATGAGGAGATCGTAATTATCAGCATAAGGAGGAAAAAGGAAAGGAATTCTATTCAGGGTGTGAAGAGGAAACCAGCACCCTCAGCCCTCTCCTTGCCTCCTTGCCTCCTTACCTCCTTGCTCCCTGTGGGTGCTTTTTTCTTTTTTTAATCATTCATTCTTCACCGCTCTTCTTCGTGATGCAATCAGGCCTTTTTCCCAAAACGCTTTACATGTCTGACTCAAGTCAACAAGGTCCGTCACACAGACACACTTACGCATTCCCAGAGGACGAGCGCTGGATTCCTTTCATTGATCCCAACCGCAAATGTCTTTGCGTGTTCCGTCACCTTCGGTGTGGGACGAACGGCTCTAAGATGCCGTTTTAAAACCGCAGCCTCACCTCCAAACTCTGATCGCACACGGGCGGCGAAAAAAGCATCACAGCCACTTCCGTCAAGCGAGAACCTCGACTCCGCGCAGAACGAATACGACGGCGAATCTGATTGTTCGTCAGGCTGCATACGAGATCATCTTCTAGTCCCTCGTGTGTGTGTGTGTGTGTGTGTGTGTGTGTGTGTGTGGGGCCGGCCTGGCACCATGCAAACCATCTGCCGCCAATTAGCCGGGTCTCAGGAAGTGCAACCGCGGGACACAAACGGGAGGCGGAGACTGAGCTGGACGTTGAAGTTGTGCGACGCGCAGGCAGGAGCGAGACAAAGTGCACACACACACACACACACACACACACACACACAGCACGTGTGAATTAGTCTGTTGGAGCGGCATCTCTCAGAGGTCACATGGGTTCGGAAGGATTCTGCTCGGCTGCTCCGTCTCAGCGGCAGACTTACCGTTCATTTGCATCATGTGGCCCTGACCTCCTTTTTCCTTATTGACTTTTAAAGATTACTCTGATATTCGTTTTCGTGTGAAATCCTTCACGACGCGCTCCGACTTCCTGTCTCAGGACTCAAGTCGACCCGCTCAGCACCATCTCGTCTCTACTGCAGTCTACAGAAACCTGCATTCTGTTAATAAGACGCGTGTCGTTGTTTGTAGTCGCATTGAGATGGAGGTTATTGGGTTGAAAGCGCCACACACACACACACACACACACACACGTCTGATGACACTTTGGGAAATGGCTATAATTCGTAGAGAGCCTAAGACACACCGAGGGCTCAGAGTCGATCCCAGGACGGCTCCGGCGGGAAGCACGTGTGTGTATTCGGCGTCATTTGGAAAAGTCCTGTTAAATAACTCAAGCTGTTTGGCAAATGTGATGGATCCCCTTGGCAGAAACACGCAAACTCCTCCGTTAAAGAATCCACGGGACGCTGATCCATCCCACATACCATGTCGTCACGGTCCCCGGGTCCAGGCTGCTGTGTGTGTGTGTCTGTGTGTGTGTGTGTGTTTGTGTTCCATCCACTGGAACGGCCCAATGAGCCATGGTTGCAGGTGTCTCTCTCTCACACACACACACAGAAATAACCCTTGATTCTACCTTACTTTTAAATGTTGAATCGCTACCCGACGCATAATCATCATCCACCAAATGTTCGGAATACTTTCTCTCATCTGTCAGTAAAATGTTGTCGAGGAATGTGTGAAGCAATCAGAATCAGGCTTGAACTCCCGCGTGTCTACAGCACACACGCCCACGCGCGCACATGCGTGTGGCTCTGCAGTCTAATGTGGGGAAACCGATTGAGCTGTAACACGTAGCTGCTCGGGCACCAGTTGAGGTTCTGAAGTGTAGATGCTTCCTGATACAGAATCTGCACTGAAGTGGAACGTGGTGAAATAAAAAAAGAAGTGTGTTTGTGTTAAAGGGTTCGTGTGAGCGATGGCGCTGCGGCAGGTTTGATATTTCCTGAAATATTAAATGGATTTTATTAATTCTCAGATGGCAAATAGACAACACGTGTTTTCAGCGTGTCAGCAAATAAAAAACGCTCACCGAGTCCGTCCTCGATGGCGCTTTCTTCCGCCTGGTGCACCGAGGGTTTCGCGCGCAGGAAATATAACTCGCATGATCGATACGACGATCCCTCACTTTCTTTCTTGCCGACCTTTTGACTTAATGTCTTCGTTTCAGGACCCGAGGGCAAAGCACAAGTTCAAGATCCACACCTACTCCAGCCCAACCTTCTGCGACCACTGTGGCTCTCTGCTGTACGGCCTCTTGCACCAGGGCATGAGATGTGACCGTACGTGTCCACCACCAAACTATCATTTATACAATATGCAAAAAGTAAATAAGCACTCCATGTTCAGGGAATACACACTTAAATACCATTAAAGAACATGCGTGTGTGTGTGTGTGTGACTTTCAGACTGTATGATGAACATCCACAAGCGCTGCGTGGCCAACGTGCCCAGCCTGTGCGGGACGGACCACACCGAGAGGAGAGGTCGCCTCCAGATCACCGCCGAGGTCAAGACTAATGTCCTCACTGTTACCAGTAAGTGCATCTGAGTGACACACAGTGCGCGCACACAGTACGCGCACACAGTACGGCACACAGTACGCCAGCTACGGAGACGCTCAGAGGAAGCAGCTGAGATCGCCGTCTTCTTTCTCCCTCTACTGGTGGAGCTGCAGAGGTGGAGGAAACAGCAGTTTTCTCCATTTAGGGGCTGCAGTGCCTCTTCTGCCCACTAGGTGGCTGTAATGAAAAATTCTGTGTTCATCAATGTAATTTTTAATTAATTTGGGAAGAAATATGTCATCTAGGGGCAATAACAATAAAATAACATATTTTATTATTATTATTTGAGCAACCATGATCCTAGATTGTAATGCATTTTTATTTTGCATTTGTATTTATTTCAGGCTGCAAGATATCAGTGTGACATGTGATGTTAATCTAGCTTCAACCACAACCTAAGAGAGGCCCCTGAAGTACTGCTAAGCTGCTACTGGCCCTTCCTGTTTGTTATTCTACATCAGTTTGCACACATGTTGAATATACTTTGCTGTAAATGGTTGTCGTTGCCATGGTTACTCAACGTAGAAGCGAGTTGACCGTCTGCGGTACTCACAGCAAAATGCGGCATAAAGTCTTGGTCTCAGTTGGATAACTTGCTGGGCGCTTTTTAACCCGACTGCCTTCTTCTATTTTAAATATTGTTGATTAAAACGAATGAATATTTATGGTGGTAGAGAACAGAGACACCTCTTCTTTGAAGTGTACTTGTAGTACTTTGTCTTCCCTGCAGATGTCAGCAGAGGTTCACATGAACAATATTCTGCACCCGCCGACTTAACAACACAACGAAGTACTGGTTGCAGATATTCCCTCCGTATCACACATCACGTTGGAGCTAAATGACTTAAATTCCCGGAAATAATAAAGTGTGTCACACGTATCAAACGTACATTGGCTGTTAGATCAGCGAATGTCCATAATCGGATAAACTCTGTGATCCTCAGCTGCTCAGATGAATAGACGGATAGAATTGTGTTGATTTATTTTGTCCATGTTACTTAAACCCTGAAAAGTAATTACTAACTTAATGTAACGATGTAGCGATTTCAAGATTTCGGAAACATTTTCTCGCTGTAAAAAGAAGACACAAACGATGTTCATATGTCTGCATATGGATCGTATCACATGCCGTGTAAGTCTCCACTAGCTACCACATGAAAAAGAACAGAGACACATAAAGCTCATTTCTGGATGTAAAAGCATGTTTCCCGTCACCCCCCATCCTGCCCTCTGCTCCCTGGTTCCCACGCTCGTAGACTCATCATTAGCTGGGATCCACTGTGGGAAATGAGATAAGAGAGCAGTAAAGGCCAAACCTCACGAGTTCTACGATCAGACGAAATAGGGCTGAATGGTTGAAACGGACGAGTAAGACGACGGCTAAAGCTCATATTTTACGTAGTTTATGTCAGTCCCACAGGCCATTCGCGTCATTGTGCAGCCAGCAGGGAACGTGCTTCCTACACTTGCACGTTCACATTTGTACGTTAGTCTTTGTGCAGAAAAACGTTGTTTGACATGCTGATTCCGCTGTGATGAACCCTCGTTACTTCATTACCATCGTGATAATAGTTTAAGCGGAATAGATAAAGTGGCACTGAGGTGTGCAGTGCTCACTTCTGCCCGCAGGGGGCAGTGTGGAACCAGCGGAAACTCACTGCCTCATTGCAGTGAGGTGGAGAAAAGCAAAAAAAAAAAAAAAAAGGCTGCCACAGAGAATTAATTGTGGCACCACTAGGAAATATTCTACGGCTTAACGGAGCCGCGAGCCGGTGAAGATGGCGGCCACGCGACCGGCTGTGGGTTTAATCCTGCAAAGGGACACTTTACCGACCGCTTCAGGAGGAGGTCCGAGCTCCGGGTCGGACGCAGAACGGTTCCCCCCGTGCAGATGGAGGATCTCTCCAGCAGGCGGAATGCAGTGGGAAGTGTGTTGGGGGGCCTTGAAATGGGGCCCCTTCCCCGTTGGGCGGTGCACATTCCGCCTCAAGGCTGCTCCGGAAGGACCTGCTGAATCCATTTAACGCACATGAGTGTCCATAAGTGGACCGTCGGGGACACCTCTGGGTTTGAGCTCCACCGACAGACACCGGTGTTCTATCCTCAGCTCTGTTTTTGCCTGAAGGTCACACCACAGCTCGGCTAGGGGCCTTTTCTTTAAAGTGAACGAGGAGTATTAGATCAGTGGAGGTTTAATGTCAGGCTCAGAGATGTGTGCTTTACCAATTAGTCATGATTAAGCTTTTCATCCCGCCGGGCTTTTTAGGTTTTTGACTTTTCATCGCTCAAATTGAATGATTCAATAATTCAATATCAGCTAGTAGCCGTTAACTTTACCGTCACACAGCGTGGCAGCAGCCAGGATTTCGTTGTAGTTTAATCAATTTAAGCCGAACAAATGTTTTAAACTTCTCCTGCGACCTGCAGAGACAGATATCCATGAAGTAGAATTACTTCAGACTGATGGTTCATGCTGTGGAAATGCAGACGTGTGCCGCCGGTCATCTGTCTGTGACTCCAAAAATATTAGGTCAACATAATTTTTTTTTAAATAGTGAAAATATGTTAGATGGAAAAATGTAATGTGGAAATATGGCACAAAAATATGAGCCTGAGAAATGTAAAAATGTCATGGATGCATACATGGTTTTATTCTTTTCTCTTGTTTTATTTCCTCAGTAACCATTGTAAACATTATGGTCTCTAAATGTAGTTTAAATTCAGAGTCAAATAGACCAAAAAGCAGAGAATGCTTTAGGGCGGGGCTACTTATGATTGACATGCCGCGTGTAGGCGTTATCCCCCGACCAATGAGCAGCGGCCCGGTGACTTAAGTCCTCTTCTTGTAGATACAGACGTTGATCTCACGCGGGGAGATCGGAACATTTTGGCCTCAAGCGGTCCAGACGGAACACATACATGTGCTTGGCATGTGCTGCTTCCCCCCGTCCCTGAGCCGGCGCACATTAGAAAGAAACACAAGAATCCCACTAAGACTCTGACGAGGCCGTTTCACTTGGGAAAAGGTTGACCTGTAAGTGTCCTATGAGGCGGTTTGGCGCGCTAACCTCTTCGGAGCCCTCTGATTGGACGGGACTCAAAATGGTGTCAGACCCAAACAGAGGTCGGCTCAGGTATCAGGCCCATGGAAGCACAGGTGATCCCAGACGTAGAAGAAGGAGAAGAATTCAAAATGGCCCCCCCAAAGGGCTTTTTTTTAGGGAACGTGAATGAGGAACGCGCCGACTCAAATTGGTGGAACTGACTCGGTAAATCGAGACGCCGGGAGGTTTTTGAAGGTCGTCAATGAGTAACGTCTCCTCTGAGCTGCTGTGGGAAGTTGAGGCTCCCCGGCTAGAAGCAGCGGGTCGGTCTCCTCGTCTGTCCTCGTGCGTCCAGGTCCCGTCCAGTCGGGGGGAACTAAAATGTTTCACAATCTGTTTTACGCGACCCACACGAGCCTCACGACCCGTCTCGCAACAGGCCTCTTCTTTGAATCCTAACTGGAGCAAATTTGTGCGTCATGAATGTGGCTGAGCGTCATTTCCACGCTTTATCTTTAACTCAAGGTACACCAGCCATTTAGAGATATCGCTTTCTAGTGTAATTCCCATCGTTGAAGCAGACTTAATAGGTCTGAATTAACATCACGCCTAGATGTGACCTCACAACTCGACCAGCAACAATGTTTGCACACACACACACACACACACACACACACACACACAGCTCCCAATCGCAGGGGATGATACGCCACCGGAATACAATCACAGCCACGTAACAGAAGGCCACAAAAGAAGGATTTAGTGTTGGAACTGGCAACCTTCATCCGTCTGCACGGCCGTCACAGGCCGATCTGGCGACCTCGAGGCTTTAACCCCCAATACGACTCTTAGGGGGGGGGGTCTGGTGTGTTTTTCAGTTGGCGTGCCTAATTTAATTAGTTGCCTTAGACAGGAGGCGCTCACACACACACACACACACACACACACACACACACAGCTTGAAACGAAGCCCTGCCAACCTGCTAAATGCGCCGAGTTACCAGCAGGTTCGTGATCAATTTTAAAGTCTTGTTATTTTTGCTTTGTCCCCACTCTCCCCTTCCCCCCCCCTTCCCCCCATATCTCCAGTCAAAAAGGGGAGGAATTTGGTTTCCATGGACCCCAACGGTCTGTCGGACCCCTACGTGAAGCTGAAGCTGATCCCGGATCCCCGCAGCGAGAGCAAACAGAAGACCAAGACCATAAAGGCCTGCCTCAACCCCACCTGGAACGAGACCTTTAAATTGTACGTCTTCCTCCCGGCGTGTCGGCGGATCCTTGTTGTGTTCGTGTATTCATCTCGTCGTTGGTCCTTTCCTCCGTTCTTTCATTATCTCCGTCTCACATCTTCACATCGCCCTCGCTCGCTGCTTTAAGAGCAGCGCGTTATGCTCGTCTTTCCGCGCCTGTGCAGCCGCTGGCGCTCAGATTAGAACATCTGGCTCCTTGGATTCATAAAAAACCTCGCTTCTGGGCTCGTTTCACGCGATTGCATTTTTAATCAGCTTCATGGCAGTTTGCATCGCGAGCGGAGACACAGATTTGCATTTTTCACGCATCCGAGATGATGCAAAAAAGGCTGCGTTCGAATTTGTGTTTGAAACGTTTGAAAAAGCAAAGCGTCCAGGTGTCATCCAACTGTTGCCGGCCCTTTGTTTGTTCTCTCAGCCACCTGAAGGAGCACGACAAGGACCGCCGCCTGTCGGTGGAGGTGTGGGACTGGGACCTGACCAGCCGCAACGACTTCATGGGGTCGCTGTCCTTCGGCATCTCGGAGCTCCACAAGCTAGGAGTGGACGGATGGTGAGACGAGCGGGAGGGGAGGGGAGGAGGCGTGAGGCGGAGAAACAACACAGGTGGAGGAGGAGGAGGAGGAGGAGGAGGAGGAGAGCGAAGGTGACCTTGTTCATTACTGCACCGCTGGAGAAATACTTTAGTTGGAGCTCCTCTTTCTCATTCTGGTGATACTCTGTGCCAAAGCATCTCTCTCCCCGTCTCTTTATCTCCGCTTCTCCATCTTCCCCGGCCCCCTCCCTCAGTCTATATCTCCCTACCCCCACCCCTCCCTCCCCCCCTTCCTGTCTTTTCGCTGACGCTGCCCCGTCAGGGTTTTTAATGAGATGCCGGCGTTTGAGGTGGAACGGCGGAGGTGCAGGGACGCCATTAAAAAAAAAACCCACATTTAGAGCAAAGACAACCGGTGTGAGTTTCCACACCTCCATCTGTGTGAAGCTCTGAAGGGAGGAGTGGGGGTGGGGGGCACACTGAACTTCTCCATGTTAGATCAGAAGACTCGAGCTTATGACATAACTGAACTTCTGACGATCACAATGCGACCAGATGCTTCTCTCCTTTGGTCACGTTTTTCATACTTAAAACGCTTAAAATAGACAACATGTCGAACTAACCCAGAAAAAAAAACTATCAAACCATTTCAGACTGCAGATAAAAATGTTCCACATTGTCTGCGAAGACGGGACCCGCAGGAATACGGCCGGTGTGTTTCACCGACGCATCGGTTACTATGAGAACCGTTATGACGCCGCCGGTTGCTAATGAGGCAAACGGGAAAAATGATACGGTATTGATTTTGTTAAACAATGAACCTCTGCGCGGCGTTTGGGGCCCATCTCTCTCTGTCAGGCTTTTGCCGGATCCCCGTGAAGTCGAGTGAATTACTGAATCATCAGCTGATTATTCTTTAGGACTTTAAATCAGTGCGCTAACAGTAAGCCGCCGCAGCTAATGGAAGCAGTTAAACGCTTAAATTGTATAAACTAATTGGGAATTGATTTGCCTGGAAATATTCCCTCCCTCCCTCTCTCCCTCCCTCCCTCCCTCTCTCTCCCTCCCTCTCTCTCCAGGTTCAAGCTGCTCTCCCAGGAAGAAGGCGAGTACTTCAACGTCCCCGTCGCTCCGGAGGGGGAGGAGGGCAACGAGGAGCTCCGGGAGAAATTTGAGGTGTGCGCGTCATGATTGCACATTTATTCCCTCTTTCGTGTTTCCACGTGGAAGCATTTCGCGGATGTGAGCCGTCGTGCGCCTCAATGGGCCGTTGTGTTACTTGTGAATGTGTGTGTGTGTGTGTGTGTGTGTGTGTCGGAGTGAGTGAGAGCCTCTCAGGGAGAGCTGTTAGCAGTTGGCAGGCACACTCGTGGTACCATCCGGTCTGGCACACTGCAGGTGTGTGTGTGTGCGTGCGTGTGTGTGTGTGTGCGTGTGTGTGTGTGTGTGTGTGTGTGTGGCTGACCAGTACTCCCACTCATTAACACATTTGGCAGTGGAGAGGAGAACCCCGCTCTGCGTGTCTCCTCCTCATCTTTCTCTCTCTTCTCCTGCTGAAATGTGTTCATCACGTTGAGTCCAGCGGAGTTGTTTGGGGACAATTGTGCTTTTGTCTTTGTCCCACACGTCTCCCCCCCCCCTCCGCTTTAGCCCCGGTTAGCTTAGCATAGAGGCCGTGTCCCTGGCTCCTTTCACTGGACACATCACCCCTCCTCCCCGTCCGACGGGCACGTTGTGCGTCGTCCCGGAGATGTCTGCTGGGGGACAAACCTCGTTGCTCGCGTTGGTTGATCCTCAGGATTCATCCGGTGGTTTTTGTCTTCAGTAGTTTAGTTTTCACTTCCACTGAATTGTTGGTGTCTGGAGTCTAGAGGTTGACTTTTGGGGGATGTATCGTAGACGTCCGTCTTTCCTGTCTCCCCCCCGCCCCCGTTCATGTTTTGTCTCCTGTCACCCTCAGTGCCCCCCTGTGTGTTCCTCTCCCTTTATCTGTTTCTCTCTCCCTCCATCTCCTCAAGGTCGTGATCCTCAGACGTTTACTGAGACACATTCCCAAAGGGGCCGGCTATCTCTCTCACACGCACACACACGCACGCACACAGACACACACACACACACACACACACACAGACAGACACACACGAGCGTGCAGGCAAACCTCCAGGGTGAAGCTGTCGGGGGGAGACGGCTGAGAGAGAGATTTCACTTTGGTAACGTGACCCGCGTGCCTCCATTCGGAATCGCACAAAAACACACACGAGACCGCCACGGCAATAATAATGCATGTGGTGCGTGCGCACACACACACACACACACGCACAGTGTTCAAAGCAGAGAGCTAAATGCATGATGAGGTGATCCTCATTTCAGGCTGAGACGCATTACTCTTTTTCTCAATTCATTTCATTTTAATGAAGCTCAAAAGACATTTTTCTATCTGCTTTTAACCCTCATCGCCCCACCCCCCCCCCCTACACCCACCCCCCTACACCCACCCCCCTTGAGTTCCTCTGTTTCTCCTTCCCTCACACAGACAGCTCAATCAAAGGGGAGTGGACGGGTTAAATGGGGTCAGCGTGATGGGGGCTGGTGGTCTCCAGAGGGCCGGAGAGAAGCACCCAGGTGGAGATTTATCCGCATCAAGAAAGAAAACGACGTGTTGCCAACGTTTGATATCTGAAAAATACAACCAGTGTATGAATCTGTGGTTTAGAATGAGAATGAAACTACCATCATGGAGGGCAGTGAGGATGCACTGATTAAACGATGACGATTCAGTTTAAATGTAAAAGCAACAAAAAAACTGAACTAAAAACCCAAACGTCTTTTCTGCTTTTTAGCATTTAGAACAGAGGTCTTCAACAGGGGGACCGTGGAGGTACTGCAGGGGGGGGTCGCGAAATTTTTCGTTGATAAGACAATTTTTTTTCCCACATATTTAAACGTCTTCAGAATCAGAATTGTATTTATTGTCTTCTTTATTGTTACACATCAACAAAAATCCAACATATTGTAGCGAACGGATAAATTAAATAAAAGATGGCGGACGAAACTCTGTAGAATAGGGGGGGTCCCTGCTCCATCTCGCCATCAGTTTGGGGGTCCTTGGCCTGAAAAACGTTGAAGACCTCAACATGATTTCGAACATGCAGAAACCGCGTGGACACGTGGCCGCAGACAGAGAGCGCCGTTATTCTCTGAAGGCCTTGAGAGGGTTGCCTTCAGCACGCTCTGCTGCTCGCAGACACCTCCACTGCTCCCATCCGTCTGTGTGTGTCTGTGTGAGTGTGTGTGTGTGTGTGTGTGTGTGTGTGTGTGTGTGTGTGAGTGTTGGAACAGATGGAGACAGATAGAGCCTTTTATCCATTGATGAGTCGGGAACCGTATGGGTTGCATCGCATGCACACACACACACACACACACAACAAACAGTGCAGCGAGCAGCAGAGTACGACGTGGCAGAAGGAGTGCAGAGAACCTCGGCGTGGATCAGCCATCGAAGAGAGACGATAGGACGCACCCGCTAATGTCTGCAGACTGCTTTTTTAAACGGAAGCATGTACTGAGTGGAGGACGAGATTATAGTTGGATTAGATCGTTAGATCGTGATACGGGGCGAGGGGGACACCGACAAGGTCGTGGCAGAGACGAGAGAAATAGAGAGACGTCGGAAACGAAGCGAGGGAGACGGACAGACACGGATAAATGGACAAGGCACGTTCGTGAAGATGAAGCAGAAATAATTCGTCTCCAACAGAGACAAAGAGAAATGGTACTAAAACTTTGTGAGTGGCCGCGGGACGGAGACACGATTGAGGCTCCAGAGAGACGCCGTGTTTATTATGGAAAGTGCGTGAAGAGCCCGAACGAACGAACGGACCCCGAAAGGCCAAAGACTCTCCCCAGTGTAACATATTCATCACTTCCACTCCAACAAAAACTTGTCCTGCCTGAAGTTTGAATGCATTTTCAAAGTTGAAGAGGGTCGCTGGCTGTGACTTTGTCTCTTCCTGTCCTCCTCTGTTCATAACTTTGTAAAATGCATGTTTCTGCCTCTCATCTCTTTTGTATTGGGAAGCGTCGCCAGTGTTCTTGGACGACCTTGTTCCACCGGGAGAACTCCTCCTCCTCCTCCTCCTTCGACATATTAAATGTGGCATTTTTCAGGCGGGCCGTCTCCTTTGATGCGATTGGCATATTTGACGTCGTCGACCACAAGCCGTCAGTCTTGATCCCACAGTATTATTCAAATGATGACAACGTGTCACATAAGTGTTAATAATTATCAAAAATGTTACTCTCTGCCCCCCCCGAATGCTTGGCACGCTAAAGAAATTAATATTTAATGGCTGTTTTTCTTCGAGGCCTGTGTTCTTTCTGATGCCTTGTTCCCTCTTTCCCTCCCCCAGAGAGCCAAGATCGGACCGGGCAAGAACACGGAGGGCAAGTCGGCCAACGCCGCGTCCAGGTTCGACTCCGACGGCAACCAAGACCGCATGAAGCTGGCCGACTTCAACTTCCTGATGGTGCTGGGCAAAGGCAGCTTCGCCAAGGTGAGGCTCCGGCGCCGACGTCCACGTGGAGGAAGGCCAAAACCCTCGGAGATCTCTCAGAGCCGAGAGTAGAGGAGAGGAAGATGGGGAGGGAAAGGGTGAGGCGGGAGCCAGAAGAGGGATGGAGGGGAAGAGACAAAGAGGGTGACGTGACATGTGGAGGGGGGGAGATGAAGGGAGAGAGAGACGGAGACGTGAGACCACGGCGCCAAGGTTGACATGAATGAATGAGAGAGAGAGGTAGAAACGTCACCCTGAATGAAAAGAGGTACAGGGGAGCGGGGGGGGGGGGACGTGAATGAATGAAAATAAAGGCGAGGAAGGAAAGATGTGGCGAGAGAAAATTGGGTAAACAACGGGTGGAGCAGCGAAGGTGGAGAGAGACAGACAGAGAGAGAGAGAGAGAGAGAGAGACCATTGTCTGTGTACCAGACCTGTGTGCCGGCTGCTTGTTTCCATGGTAACAGGCGTTTAAAGCAACAGCGATGCAGTGGAGTGGATGTCAGTGTGCAGAGACGGGCCGTTACTGGAATACCCGACACACACACACACACACACACACACGCACTCAGATTCCTGACGCCCACGCATTCACACATGCGTGTGCGTCGCAGCGTTGGAGCATGCCCGCTTGCACACACACACACAGACACACACTCATGTAGAACGCACTCCCGTCTGTGAACGCACGCACCAGCGGAGTGGATCGTGCGGGAGGCGGCTCGCTCTTGTCTCGCCGTGTGAGGACCATCTGCATCACGGAACCGCTGCAAACATTGCTCTGTGGCAACGCTGGCAGTGTGGTAGTTACACACACACACACACACACACACGCACACATACTGGGGACACATGGGCATCACTGTAATGTCCCGCGTCATCACACACACACATTTCATATTATTGTGCAACTAGTATCACATGACCTCGGCCAGGCGATCCAATTAATGCTGATTGATTTTGGATTATATAGTTAAGCACTACGAATATCAAGCCCTAAGTGTGACATGGGATGAACATTTTATTTTACTTATTTATTTTATTCACTCTTGAGGCGTCTCAGTGGTCCTGCGGGACCGGATCTCACTGCACGTCGTTATGAACGTCCGATGAAACCGGAAAGCAGTGACCGGACTAACCAATGTCCGGAACACGGCGGCGTCTGACAGTTGATGACTGCTCTTCTGTCAAATGACCCTGAACGACTTTTCACCGGGGATAAAAGCAAAAACGAGGGACCAATCTGACCTCGAGGAAGACGCTGAACCTCGATGACGCCACGACATCGGGAAACCGGCGGAAAAAGGAGGTCTAAGCGGCGGAACGTGAAAGAACGCCTGCTTGTCGGCTCCTGCTGTTGCTCGGCGTCCCGACTTTTGATGAAACCCCCGTGGTTTTATGTTCTGTGTCCTCCTCGCGCGTCGTCCTCCTCGTCCTTGTGGTTGTGTTAAATGAGCTCTGGGCCAGATGGTGTCCTTCCTCTTTGTTTTCAACTTTATACAGTTTGTATTTACATAGAGTCGCACTGCCGCCATATGGGAGTCCACACACACACACACACACACACACACTCCTTTTGTAACGGTGTCCTGTCCTGGACAGCGAAAGCTTGTATTGCCCTGACCTGGACACGCGCAATTTGATGCGGTTTCCTGTATATTTTTCTTGGCCGATCGCCGTGAAAACAATGTTAGTTCAAATCTCATGAATAAATATGAACATTGACATGTTTACTTACTGCAGGAAAGTTACTGATGAGAGAAAGTAATAAGAACACTTACGGTGGAGCGATGACGAAAGAACTTTTATTAGGTGTTGAAGCGGGATGTTTTATTTTGAAAGGTCAGAATTGGGTTGCCGGATATGTTGACAGCATTGATGGTGATTTTGGCGACTCTTTAACCAATATTTAAGGACATTGGACGTCTGTCCAGCGCGCGGCTAATTCACCGTAGCTTCCATTTACCGACTCTGGTTAAGAACATTTTAACTTCTATAATTAAAACAGCATTCGGCTACTTTATCACCGTTAAATCACCTGAAGACGTTACACGATCGTTTTTATCAGAGGTTTGATGTTGCCCTCTATGCAAACACACATTTAATCCCACACACACACACACCTGCGTGTCCATCAGTGTGCGCTCCCTGTAGCAACCCAAACCCAGTAACCCCTCTGCATTATCATACCTGAATATTTATGTGGCGTAAAGCTGCAAAGTTTCAGATCTCAAAGGGAAAAAATGATGAGGTGGAGACAAAGGTCACGTCTCGTTGCTCCGCGCTCGCGGGTTTCTGGGCGGAATAACGAGTGCGATATGTTTGCCGTTTACGCCGTTAAGCCGGCGTTCGGGAGGGCGGTGGAGCGGCGGGGCGGGGCGCTGCTCTGTTTTCCCGCGCTTCCGGCAGCGCACGCGCGTGCAGACGCCCGGAGCGCGTCGGCTCGAGGGCCGCGCCGCCTGGCTTCCCTGTCACCTTAAAGATGCATCTGATGTTCACAAGCGATTGTTTCATTTGCTCATACGTACCAAATATATTCTAAAGACAGAAGACTTTTTATTTTTATTTATTTTCATATGTCCACTCAATACGATCAGCTGGTTATTTAAAGTTAGCAAAAAGACATAACAAGCATCTCTAAAATGAACTAATTAGCAAATTATGTCTTTGTTTAATAAATCTTTATGCCAAGCGAAGATAAACACGTCCCTGTTGTAGCAGTCTGGTGTCTAATTTCTCATTTAACTCCTTCTGAATAAATATATTTCAAGATCTTAAAGTTTGCCCCACACACACACACACACACCTTTGATAGTTCCACTTGCTAATATAATTCCAATGCACAGACTTCCATCCCGAGAGTTTGACTTTCATTACCCGGTCACAAGCCTGCTTCAACTTTTATGAGCTGACCTGCGAGCCGAGACGTGACCCACATCTGCAGCAGCTCTGCGGGACAGAATGTGTGAGGACGGGTGAGGGAAAAAAGGGAGGGCAAAGTTAGGGAAGACATCGAGGAACACGAGGGAGGAAGCGGCGAGGGAAGGGGACGAGGTGATGAACAAGGGACCTGAAGGCAGAAACGTCTATGTCTCTGTTTGAGAGACTGTAGGCAGCAGAGATAATGTACGGAACCCCGACTTCGCTCAACTCCTGTCGATCTTGCTCCTTCACTCTCTTCCTCCCCCCCCCTCCCGTGTGTCTTCTCTGCTTTCTCTCCTCCCCGATGTCCTTGAAGGACACAGAGAAGCCTCAAATAATCTGCACTCCACGTTAAAAAGCAACCGAAGGTTTCACTCCCTCCAGAGTCGATGATGTCATCGTTCTCCGTGCACTTGATGGCGGCGGGGGGAGGGGGGGGGCACCGCTGACCCAAAGCTCAACCGACGTGTCACACAAATGCAAAGCTGTGATTGGACGCTGGTTGTTGGGTTGTTGCAGTTATTATTTACTCCTAACGGCGATGCTTTGTTTCCTCGGTGCAACGATCGTCCAGATATTTCCTCCACAATTTGACAGCTTTTATTAGAGCTTAGAACGGTCACGCTATTCTAAAGCCTTTTATCGACCCCCCCCTTGTATTTTTTCCCTACTCAGGTGACATCTCGGAAAGATGATGAATCAGTTTTCTCTGTCCGCACTCTTTTTATTTCAACTTTGACTCCCAAAACACTTTCCTTTATCCGTCCGCTCCTTTGTCCCTGCCCTTTACAGCACCTCCTCTGTGTCCCCCCCACCTCCCCGCCTCCCCCCCGCCTTCCTTTCCCCTCTTTCTTCCCTGCGATATAAAGGCCTGACGGGAGCTCTGCGCCCTGAGGATTTTGAATATTGATGACTTTACGTTTTCTATCCTCTCCCTCCTCTCCTCTCCCCTCCACCCTCCTCCTCTCCTCCCTCCTCCTCTCCCCAGGTGATGCTGGCAGAGCGCAAAGCGACCGAGGAGCTGTACGCCATAAAGATCCTGAAGAAGGACGTCGTGATCCAGGACGACGACGTGGAGTGCACCATGGTGGAGAAGAGGGTGCTGGCGTTGGCCGGAAAGCCGCCGTTCTTGACACAGCTGCACTCCACCTTCCAGAGCATGGTAGGGCGCGAGCGGGACGCTCCCTGTCAACCTCCCCACAGCTTCGCATGGCACCGCGTCTGAAGGCGTCCTGCTGGAGGGCACTGTCACCGGGCTCACCGCCGGGACACGCAGGCCCCCGACTCCTGTTCCTCCCGTGACGTTTAATCCATATCACACTAAAGATGAGTCAACAGAGGAGTAAATATAGCTCGCTGGTCACGTAACACAGGGAGCGAGTCATTTGTCTGCAACATGCTACGCAAACATACTGGTGCGTGTGCGTGTATTGATTATGAATCTGAGGTTGTGGTTAAACGTTGTACCTGCACACACACACACACACACACACATGCAGCAGAAGTGTGTGTTAATCCTCCTAAACCCTAATTCTCTGACCAGAGGAGGCTTTTGATGTATGGGATTTAGCAGGAAGTGCTAACACACATGCACACCGACGACGGCAATCACAACATGCCTGCACACGCACACGCGCACACACACACACACACACACACTGCACATGCTGTGTCCCGTGCAAACCCACCAATACATCCGAATCGCTCATAAACTGTTCAGGCAAGAACACACACATGGCCACAAACACACAAATCCCTCACATATTGTTCCCGATTGGCAATTTCTGCAGATAATTAGCTCTTAAATTGATGTTGCTGTGCTCCCTCAGCTCACCGTTCCCCTTCTCTCCGTCTCTCGCGCCTCTTATTTCCTCAGCCGAGATCATTTGTTTTCAAATCTCACTTTTGACCTCTGGTGTCTCTCCCTCGTGTCTCCGCAGGACCGCTTGTATTTCGTCATGGAGTACATCAACGGAGGAGATCTCATGTATCAGATCCAGCAGGTCGGCAAGTTCAAGGAGCCGCACGCCGTGTGAGTACGGGCGGACGCACACCCGCGCGTTGGTGCTTAGAATCACGCGAAACGTGTCGCTCGCCCCCGAGGCTTTAGCGTCTAAAGTGGCGTTGGCGGGGGGGGCCCCCACCCGCTCGCCATGCTCGTCACGGACGAAACGTCCGACGGGCTCCAAGCGCGGGGCGCCTCGTACGCAGCTTCCGCGTGTCCAGGCTCCTCCCGTTTGATCTTATCAGCTGCTCTCTGGCCTTGAAGAGACAGCGGCGACCTTTTGGGCGCGCACGCCATTTATCCGCCTGTTTTCCCCGCTGTCCTTTCCCTCGGACTCTGTCTAATTGCTGTTTGTGTGTGTAGGTTCTATTCAGCGGAGATCGCCATCGGTCTGTTCTTCCTGCATCTAAAGGGCATCATCTACAGGTAACACACGCCGGGAGGGGGGGGGGGGGGACCGCCGTGCTTTCTGTCCCCGAACACCTCGACAACGAACGCGAGGGGCACAAACGGCGGAGCGGGGTCGTCACTCCTCGACTGGGCGAAGTGTCACTCGCTGCAGCCGAGGCCTCAGACCGACCAACGCCGCTCGCGTTGACAACTTCGATGGGCTGCTTTTGCGTCGTTGCATTTGTCACGACAACCCGGAGCGTTCAGATCCGATCCTCGGCGGTTCCGCGGCGCTAACGTCGACTCTCCCTCCTGCAGAGACCTGAAGCTGGACAACGTGATGCTGGACTGCGAGGGCCACATCAAGATCGCGGACTTTGGCATGTGTAAAGAGAACATGAGCGACGGGGTCACTACCAAGACCTTCTGTGGGACCCCGGACTACATCGCTCCTGAGGTAGAGTGTGTGTGTGTGTGTGTGTGTGTGTGTGTGCGTGCGTGCATACGCAGACACTGAAGTATTAGTCGGCTGTTGCTCGTACTCGCCGCCCTTCCTGACCTCTGAGATTTAGGTGAATGGAGGTGTCTCGTGTTTCAGATCATCGCCTACCAGCCTTATGGGAAATCTGTGGACTGGTGGGCCTTCGGAGTGCTGCTCTATGAGATGCTGGCTGGACAGGTCAGTCTGTGTGTGTGTGTGTGTCTGTGTGTGTGTGTGTAATACACTTTATAAAGTGGATAAAACTCATCAGGCTCCGTTAATCAGCAGCGTTGTGTATTCATGGCTGCACGTGACACAAAATAAACACGCGAGATCGTGGCCTTTAGAATGCGACATGTCGTAATGAAAGGTGAGCTGTTGAATCATACCCCTTGATGAGTTTTCCTCTCGTGGCGTTAATAATTGTTAGAGTAGATGTGACATTTTAAAATGCTGCGTATCTCGTTTGGAGTGCGTATTGTGTTAAAGGCCCGCGGCGTTTAGATTATGACGAAGTGGCACAAATAAAGCTCTTAATGATTCAATTTAAATGTCCTTTATTGTCCTGCCCTCCTCTCAACCGTCTCCTCTCCTCCCCTCTCGACCCCTTTCTTCTCCTTCTCCATCCACCACTGTCCTCCTCCCACGTGTCCTCTCCTCTCCTGCCTCCTTCACTCCTCCTCCTCACCTCATTCACCTCGTTCTTCCTCCGCGCTCCTCTCCTCTCTTGTCCCCTCCCGTCCCGTCCTCACTTGTCCTGTCCTCACTTGTCCTCTCCAGCCTCCATTTGACGGTGAAGATGAGGATGAGTTATTTCAGTCCATTATGGAGCATCACGTCTCCTATCCCAAGTCATACTGTCCAAGGAGGCGGTAGCGATCTGTAAAGGGGTGAGTGCGCACACACACAGACGCACACACTCCACACAACCTTGGTCCCTCCTCACAAAATGTTTCTTTCGCTCTTCCCTACACTCTGTCTGTAAGGGTGTGACATTGGCTCTGGGAAAGGAAGGAGGGAGGAGGGAGGGAGGAGGGAGGAGGGAGGGAAGGAGACATCACAATTATCTGCATAATTAAAAGCACCGTGAGGAAGTTATTCGCCGTGAAACAACATCGTCCCGTCTCTGTCCCCGTGTCCTTACGCTGTAGTCTCCTGTCCTTCTCTCCCTCCAGAGTTCATTGTACATCCTTTCTCTCACACACACAGACACACACACACACACACACACACACACACATTGTTTCGCTCAGTTCGGGCTGTGTGCTCAGTTGACTGGAAACTCGTCCTCAGAAAAGGCCGTCCGGTACCAAATGATGCCCCGTCACCTCCCAGCTGTGTGTGTGTCTGTGTGTGTGTGTGTGTGTGTGTATTCGTCCTCTCTATTGAACCACCAGCTGGTATAGACTTATATTTTTTATTTTTAGGAGGAGGAGAGACAGAGAAACTTCTCCTCCTAATTGTTTGCGAAGCTCCTTATAATAAAACCGAAGCACGCACACACAACCTCACACACACACACACACACAACCTCACACACAACCTCACACACATTACCATCAACGCGCTGCAGAGGCTCCGGTTCGGACGCACACGTCTGCGTCGGCATGGGAGCGCAGAAGGCAAATTGACGAGAAATATGTTCACTGAGAAACACACACACACACACACACACACACACACACACACACACACACACACACACACACACACACACACACACACACACACACACACACAGTCAGTGTAATGTATTAGTGATGATTACTGGCTTGTAGAGCTACAACAGTGGATCATCAGTGGAGCGTGAAAGCTCGCCCACGTGCACCCTCACAGCGGCCTGCCAGTACCGTGTGTGTGTGTGTGTGTGTGTGTGTGTGTGTGTGTGACGACCTCATGAAGCTTTTATTTTAAAATGCTACAAGATATTTCCATTTGTAAAAACAACCAGGTGAAGTCCCTTTGTGAGTCCTCTGCATGCCGACAGCCGCCGTTCGTTCATCTGTTTCATTTCAGCGCACGTGGCTGTTTTTTCAAATACCAAAGTCTGAGACACCCCGGGGGGGTGAGACTTCCACACATCTAACATGTTTGTGTTAGCGGTTCAGGTACAACGTGGGAGCCAACGCACAAGGCGCGTGTTTCCTTCTGCACGGAGCGTGCGCGTTGAGCGCGGGAGGCTCGTGGTTTGCGTGTGTGTCAGTGTTTGTGAAAAGGGAATAATCATCACAGACATTTCCACTCGCGTGCTTCCGCCTGACCAGCATCCATATTTCATAGCCAGCAATGGGCCACACACACACACACACACACACACTAAGCTGCTACCGCAGAATATTCTGTAGTGTTGGCCACTTGTCTTCAAGCACATGATTCTACAGCAAGAGCAATTGTGCATGGATGTCCTTGCACACACACACACAGATGCAGCCAGGGGAAAGGATGCGAGTGAAAAGGTCTCGCCGCCTTGGATCAGACGGCTCAGCTGACCTCCTCCTCCCTGAGAAAGGAGGAGGCACCCAGATGAAACGGTGTCATTATGAATTATAAAGGTTTTGTGCGATTTTAATGGCAAAAATATGAATCCGATCTGCATCAACACAAATTCTTTTGATGCCAAAATAGCCGTGTGACTGAGGTGGTCTAAGAGGAACTAGGCCCCACCAGATGGTGAGTTATATTGAGTGACCAGGCTCGTTTTCACATATGCCATTAATTCCTGCAGTCGGTGACCCGGTTCGTTCCGGCTGCTCTTTGAGTCTCGCTCGATGCGCACGGAGCCCCGGCGCTCTGATCAGAGGACAGAAGCCGCCGTTTACTGTGACGTCTGCTTTCTCTCCCTCGTGCACCTGTGGAAGCACAGGTGTGTCTTTCAGTTCGCTTTGCCGCTGCCCGCGCTTCAACCGCGCGCGTTAGACAGCCGGGTCGGGAATATTGATTATAGGCCCGCGAGAGTTACATCAATTACATTTATTCCACACAAAATACTCTTTCCTCAACTGTTGACTTTCTGCTCATCTATGCATGTGTTTGTGTGTGTGAGTAAGCACACGCGTGTGTGTGTGTGTGTGTGTGTTGACTGACCCGTGTAAAATGTTATTTTGGTTCTAATATAATGAGTTATGACTGCTTCTCCTGAGGGGGACACACCCCACCTACACACACACACACACACACACACACACAATGACGTCAGTAGCCTGGACTCTTTTCTTAAGGTTTTCTGTGATTTAAACGGTTCGTATCTGATTCTCACACCTGTGAGGTGATAGATGGGGGGAATCACAGGATGTTTAAAGATATCACACTTTACTGAAATGCAATAAATAAAGTCATTTAGCCTGCTAGCTGGTAGCTAACCATTTTTATTCTATAACGCTCACACAAACTAATAAATCTAATTTATTGTTAGAATGTGTGGGTAGCCTGCAGGATAGACAGGTGGCTGAATATTAAAACAGGAAACAGTGAAGGGGGAGGCAGCGAAAGAAAGGTGGTGATGGAATGTGGATGGAATTGGTCGAATATTAAACCCACGCGGGGTTGAAACAGGCCGAGCGCGCGCACCCGGCACAAGGAGCGCTTATGTGCAGGGGACGAAAAAGAAGCGAGGCCATTCCTAATTTGCCATTCTTCCTCTTCCTCCTCTCCCGTCCAGCTGATGACGAAGCATCCAGCCAAGCGGCTCGGCTGCGCCCCGGAGGGCGAGCGGGACATCAGGGAGCACAGCTTCTTCCGCTACATGGACTGGGAGAAGCTGGAGAACAAGGAAGTGCAGCCGCCGTTCAAACCCAAAGCTGTAAGTGTGAACCCGGCTCGACCCCCTCCCTCCTCTCTCCCCCCTCCTCCCCCTGAGTGCGGGAACCCCGTCCCCTCCAGTGGCGGCGCTAATGAGTCCGGGAGTCTCATTCCTGCCGGCGGTTAAGTTCCTGGTGGTGGAGAAGTATCTCTCCTCCTCCGTCCTGTTGCCTCACTCGTCTCCTCGCTTCCCATGTGGTTGTTCCTGCCTCCTCCCCCGTCCTCTGCACGGGACAGAGCACCCGGGTAAGTCCGGGGAGGATGAAGATCACACCGCGGGTGTCGATAACCGTGAAGAGGAGGAGGAGGAGGAGGAGGAGAGAGTGTGAGCTGCAGTGATGTGGGTGTGGCTGGGATGAGGAAGAGGAGTTAGAATGCGTCTGGTCGATGGATGCAGCGCGTGTGTTGTGTCGAGTGTAGAGTCTCCCGCATCCGCTGCGCGCGCGAGTTCCTCCGTCCTCCTCCCGAGTTTGATCCTAACCACTTGGAATGATGTCATCTTCTTTGAAGACTCTCACACACACACACACACCTTGACGTGCACACGCGCTCGCACACAGCCTGAGGCCTCGCTGCTGCTGGAGAGTTTTCCTGAGAGGAGCTTTTTGTGCAGCTGTCTTGCGTGAGGTTGTGTGTGTGTGTGTGTGTGTGTGTGTGTGTGAGTGTGTGTGTGTGTGTGTGCGTGTAGTTGGAGGGCGCCGTTCAGACCCGCTGTCACACTGGAGGGCGCGTCGCTCTGCACTGAGACCTCTGATGTGACGACTAACGCGTGTAGTGTGATCTCTGCCGCTGTGTGGGCCTCTCTTCCCCCTTTGATCGTCTCTCTAACATCTCCCCCCCGTCTCATCGCCTCTCCCTCCTCCCGTCTTTCTTCTCCCTTTCTGAGGAACAAATAAATGTTTGGATCGGGGTTTTTTTTTTTTGGAGAGGCTTAGTGTTTACCCAGCGTTAAAGTTTCGGTTGAGTTTAGCTTCTGAAGGTTGTTCTTTGATGCTTTTGGTGAACCGTGTGTGTGTGTGTGTGTGTGTGTGTGTGTGTGTGTGTGTGTGTGTGTGCGTGTCTGTGTGTAGCTGCTCCGTAGACTTCTGAATGTTCTTCGGGAACGTGATGCTGCTTGAACGATTGTTTATGATGGAACTATCACCGGTCCAAGTGTGGTCAGAAGTTCTTCCTTCTGAGGAGCCGCCGCTCTCTCCCACCCGGCAGGCGGATGAAGGCGGTCCATCCCCCTGGGAGCTCCACCCTCCGGCCGCAATGATCACTGTTCACCTGTCCGTCCGTCTGTCGTGGAATCCACTCCTCCACCTGTCACCTGAGCGCTCCGTCCATCTGCCGCCCACCCATTTGTCCCAACGCATTTTTATTCGTCCTCTCTTGTGTTCACGTTTTTTTTTGTCTCTCTTCCTGTCCGCGGGTCCTCGGTCTCAAACGGAAACCTGCCCCCGGGGGGGAATCTCAACAGGAAGCGTCCCGCCTCGACCGCGGCGCGTTAGAAGCGCGCAGGGCGCCAAAGCGACGCTTCTGAACTTCGAGGCGCTTATTTCCTTTCCGGTGGCGAATTCCTCCCACCTGGTTCCTCCCACACGGGTTAAAACCAACGCGGGCAATTAGCTGCAGATAGGATTTGACCCTGGTGTATTTCTCGTTGCACATATTTCCCCAAACTACAAACAATCTGGCTTGATTTCACTCGCGAGTTACAGAGACTTAATGAGTTTGTAGTTTTCCTCTGGGTGATGTTGTCAGAAGGCACCGAATCCTTGTTGTGTTAATTATGGAGATGCAGAGGGAGAGAAGGAAGATCTTCCCCGTGAGGCGCGCTGTCGGGAAAATCTAGTTTTCAAGTTAATAACTTGTTCCGAGTACTTAGACGGACGCGCGTCTCGTGGGTACGGAAGCTCTTCTCGGGCTCCCTGAGGTCCGAAGGAGGAAAGCAAACCAACCAATGACTTCTTGCCAAATTGCTTTTTGAAAAAGTAAATTCTTCTTTCCGGTGTGAATTTCCTCCCGTTGTGTCGCTCTTCTGTAAACGCTCCAAGAGGCGGAAAGTGATCATTTATCTGCTGTCGCAGACGTCATCTCATTATGAGAGCATAATCATCACGGAGAGCGAAAATCTATAGTCTGATCCGGTTTATTATGTAACAATTGATCACAGCTGCAACATTTCGTAACTACTCCACAACGACGCGGCTTTCAGCCTTTTCTTCTCCCGCTGTTCAGAGGTTTCAATTAAATCTCAGTATTACAACGCGACAAATGAAACACCACGGAGAAGTTGTTATTATCTTACACCCGTGGAGGGGTGCGGTGGGGGGGGGAGGGTCTTTTTAAATGTTCCACGCTCCTTATTAAGAGCTTACAGCTTCATGCATAATCCGGTGTGGTGCGTCGCCGCAGGACGTTTGAGACTTCTGTGGCCTTTTTCTGTTTTAAAATTGGAGTTGAATATGTTTCAAATATTTGAAAAAATGAGGGCGAAAGCGCGCGTGCCCGAGGCGCGCTTGATTTACGCCTCCCTGGGGGGGAGGAACCAGCGACCGGAGGGTTTGAGCACCCGGCCCCCCCCCCTCGTTTCCGATATATTTGAAACCATGTCAAGTGATGTCATCTCACCCCCTTGGTTCAACCCACCATTCCCCTTCTTTTGTTTTCCTCCATCCCCACTCCTCCCCCTTTCCAACCCGCCCCTCCTTGTGCACTCCACCCCCTCCCCTCCCCCTCCCACCCCCACCCTCTTCAACAGTGCGGACGGGACGCCGAGAACTTTGACCGTTTTTTCACTCGCCACCCGCCGGTGCTGACCCCTCCCGATGAGGAAGTGATTCAGAACCTGGACCAGGACGAGTTCCAGGGATTCTCCTTTATCAACCCAGAGTTCCCCGGAGCTGACGCTGCCCCCACTGCCGCCGAGCAGGCTTGATTTCAGCTCACGCACACCCCGATATCAACACCCCCCCCCCCACACACACACACACACACACACACACACACACACACACACACGTATCGACTTTCCTGGAAATGATTTGTAACGTTACAGGAACCAAGAGGTCACGACGTAAACTGATACGCAGACACAGCGTGGGCCCGACGACGCACACGTGCCATGTTCACACTGCTGCAACCAGCGGGGGGGTTGTCTCGGCTGCACGCGGCCCAGAGGTTGCGGATTAGAACGAGGAAACGAATCCTGCATGCTAGAAGGGTGCGATTCGCCGCCTGCGTTGCCCTCAGTGTGAACACAGCGTGTGCGTTGTCGCTTAGAACACGTCGTCAGAATAAATGGCGATCCTTAAAAAGTCCACGAGTCCACCCGCTCGTGAGGAAAAACACAGCAGCGTAATTCACCTGCCTCGGCATTCCATCCTATTACTTCCCCCTCCTACGATGGAAATTGTGATTTAAGTCTTTTCTTTTAACCCGTCCCTCGACTATTCCGGCGCATTCTGAGTGTGGCCTGTACTTCTGGTGTGCTTTTTATGAATGTGCAGTAATGCTGTTGTCTGCACGTTGATCCTTATCTTAGCTTGAACTGGAATGCTTCACTACTTGTGCATGAGTTTCTATATCAATCACAGCCCGGGACTTTGTCTCCCTGCAGCATTTCAGCATCTTACGTCTGCACCCCTCTGCTGTCGTGCTTTGATCAAAATATGCATTTAATGAATGATTTCACGCACTGAGACACAACGGATCGGACTTTCTTTGTGTCTCATTTGCTGTTCAGCACGGGGGGGGGGTCGCGATGGTAAAATGCTGGTGGGAAGTGTAGTCTTTATACAGGCTTTGGGTTAGTTAAAAAGACAATACTCCTTCTTATACTCTGTTCTGTTATCTAGTATATAAGCGATAAAAGAGACTAGCGGCTAGTTTCATGGAAGCATGATTCCGATACCTGTCGACGGCGTATGTGTGTGCACCTGTATGCCAGTGCTGGGTATGAAAATGCACGTTTTGCATTCTTGAATGGCGTGTCGATGCCCGCCTCCCCCGGCGCCTTGCTGCGGCCTTGCCTTTCCGCAACGTCTGTACGGTGGCGGTCTGCAACCCCCCTCCAAGCAAGGCAGTGTTGGTATCATCCACTTTACTTCCAGACAGCGGCTCCACCGGTGGCCCGGAGGGAAGAACCCGAAGGAGAGACGCGCCGTGTCTTAAGTGTCAAATCACAATTGGTGGAGAAATTAGAGAAATTAAGAGATCATATGAGTTTCGTTTCTGGAGCCTTGAAGTGATTTCAAACCCGGGACCAACGTTGCCTGCGGCTCTCCTTCCGCTCGAGGTTCCTCGGCCACGTGGGGAAAGCATTTGAGGCTCAACTCGTTGTGATCGGTGTTTTTCAAGTAGCCTTCTGCATGCGCGGAGAAGGAGGAGCTCGTCCTCCTTCCGAAAGCGGGACAACGTGTGTGTGTGTGTGTGTGTGTGTGTGTGTTTTCTGTGTCTTGTTCTCCTCAGCGAGCAATACTCTTGTTGACAGCGGGGCAGAATTGGTACTGAAGCGGCCTTCAGAGGGATCGGGTTAGGAGTGTCACTCAGGGGAGGTATCGGTGGGCACATCTGTCCAGCTGAAGGAAGAGATGGTTGAAGAAACGAATGTGTCAGGGAGCCCGTGTACGCTCGTGTCCAGGTCTCCTACAGTGGCCTCATCGCTGATCTAAACACGTTCCCACTTGGACCGGGACGTTTGCGTTCGGCACTGAGACCTCGTCTGAGAAGTAATTGGACATTTTGGTCACTTTGGCGACTTCAAACTTCTGAAAGTAGATGCAGCTGTTTTTATGACTCAACGGCCTACAGCCAAGTACGTGTCCATCCTCTGCCGGTGTTTGTTACAGTCAGTGTCTCCTGTATTATAACAGTTAGCTATCAATACTTATACATAAACATATGAAACTGTGTCAAATGTTGATATTTACACCACGTGGTCAGTATTGTAACGGACGAGAGGAGGAGTTTTACTGTTTTCATGATTCCTTCCTGCTGAAGGAGAAGCAAAATGAA